TGTTGCAACTGAACTCCAAGTTGCGCACAACTCCTGAAACACACTCATTTTCAAATACATCAGCGTCAACAAAAGAGTCGACTGAATAACTGTTTATGGTGGTCCTCAACTGAATGTACTGCACAAAAGCCGCCTAAATATTTCCTGGTCTGGGAGGAAGGATTTTGATTGGGTGTTGATGGAACTGCACTTGAAGTTCCACGAATATGCGAACACATTAATCTCAGGAGATTTCAGACGAACCGATATGCCCATAGATTTAGACGGTAGGACGGATTACTAGCACCCATCCAATGAATGAATACGGTAGATCTGTATCGCCGCATTTCATAGGATTTTGAAGCACCCAAAGTTAGTACTTTATGGTTTATATGTTCTTCCTTCGCAGGCTTACCATGCTTCATTCTTACAAGCCACCCTCCTTGCTGCTATGATTGACCGGATACCACGAAATTCATGCACCAAACTTTCCGAGTTTCCATGTTAAAACATATATCCTTTCATTCCTTTCTCTTTCTTTCACTGAGTGTCACTGGCAAAGTTTCGACTGTGACATCCAGCATCACACAGACACCGGAAAGAATATACCCATAGTTAATGTTGTCTGAAGTGTTACGTACCTCAGATGTCTAGCAATTGGCGTTAGGCTAGCAAAAGTTTTTCGGCTGCTGAATGCCATCCTGTCAGATTTTCACTAAGGATGTCACTCATTATTGAACTCTGGATGTGATTCTTTAAGCCCTATTATCAAGGTCATGATTCTAGGCTGTGGTAGCATCCTTCCATTCAGACGGTTGTAGCATTGTTCATTGTGATTAGCACCAACGCAGGGTGTGAACTGTGGTGAGCAAATTACACAGTGAAATTTTCTAAGTAGGCTAAAGAGAAGAATTCTGAGATTCTGCAGTTTCTCTGGAAAGAGAACTCAGATATCCCTCAGGATTTTACTAACCAACTGACGCCAACATTTTTACACAAAGACCGGATTTTGCATTTGAATGTAACTCACGGTTGTTGGCCTGGTTGCTGCTGCTCTGTTGATTGATTTCTGTAGCTTGCCAATATTTGCGTCAGTAATTGTTGATCTCATCCTTTTCTTCTGGGATTAGCCCATTGGATTTAACTGAAGAAAAAATCAGTCCGTCATTTCAAAGTGACCTTGTTATAAATCAATAACTGTGACCGGAATGTAACAATTGATACACCGTCGGTTAAGTACGCACTTACAAGTTAGGTTGGTAGAACAGTCAAATTTCTATAGAGGAAAATATCGGTAGCTCAGGTAGCGTAGGTGGTGATCGTTGGCTTGTTCGCTGAGCTGGGCAATTTGATTGCAGACGTTTCATTACCACCCGAGCTGACATCATCAGCGCGTTATTGGGGAGCGTAGTAGTGCGTAGCGGTGGGTTGGTGGTTGTGCCAACCACCACCTTTGCAATCAAATTGCCCAGCTCAGCGAACAAGCCAACGACCACAGTCAGGTTGTTACATACTTGTGTTAAGTAGGATGAAATCCAGACATTAGTCACCCATATGTTCGAAGCAAAGTTCTTTACTAAGACATTAGGACAAGCGTTTGAAAGGGCAGCTCATTCCGCGTCCCGATCTGGATCAATAGCTAATGTCTCCAATCAAATTCACAAAGAATGTTATGAAATTTCTGGATAACATCGTGGCTACTTACTAATGAAATGTTTGCCAAAAAGTACACACAAACCATCACTCAATGGTGTGTACATGCGGGTAGACAGAAAGTTCGCACAAAGATTTAGGCGTACGCTTCACCTTAGCGATTACCTGCTGCCAATCTGTCAAGTCGGTCAACGAATACTTTTAACTGACAGTTCTAATTAATTAAAATGATATGTTCAATTTACACTAAAATCGATCGCCCGAAATGCGTCACTATGCAGGTTCTCATTATACGGCTGAACTAATCCTTTAGGCATGGGGCCTGGAAACTGAAAAAACAACTCAGTTTATTGCAGATAGAACGAGAAACAGCGATTCCACCCATAATGGTTGTATTAATTTAACTGACAAGTAGTATTATGAGCCATTTCTGATCGGTTTCGGTTAAGAGCCGAGTTAGTATGCACCCTGGCTCCCACGCACATCCAGTTGGATTGAAACATCGCAAATGCGTTTTGTTTCACAGATTAAGGGCAATTCTGCCGAGCCGACGTTTGTAGCAGGGACGACAGAAAAGTGATACAAGAGGTTTTCACCGTGCAAGAGCCGGTAAATTCTGTGCGAAAGTTCCGCAAGTGTGTGGCATGCATGGTAGTGAGATGGTGAGGCATGGGTTAAAAATCGATTAATCATACAAGGTGAATGATAGGGAAGCTGTGGAGACAGGCGTTCAAAGTCCGACATGACTAGCAAGTAAACTCGTCACCTCAGTTAGGTAGAAAAATCTTCGCGTAACGGAATTTGGTTTGTAATTTTTTATGGAAACAATATAGACAAAATCTATGACGTTAATTATGAGTATTCAGTAACCCTACGTTTCGCGACTTCCACTTAGACAGTGTCCTACGATATCCCAAAAATTGTCCGAAGTAAAACAAGAGTTGACCAACTTGAAGCGAATTTAGCTAAAGATTATCATAAACACGGTATTCAGCTGAGTGTAGTTCGTGAACTGATTTCAATTTGAGGTCGTACAAAAAGTAAGGTCGACGGAAACTGAGATACTAGGCTTACATGATGAACCCAAAAAATTGCGACCCGGTTGGGGCCGACGAATAATTTCCACCATCAGCATGAGTACTGTACTTTCTCGATTTTAAGAATAGCGCACTAAATGAGACAAGAGGTGGCTTCCATTTCACAGTAAAGTTCACCTGAGACGTCTGATAACACCAGCTTCTTTTGACTTGGTTTGAACTGCTATTTAGCTTATATTTGGAAATAGTTGCATGAAAAAAAATAACTTCATCGGTCATTGACTTTTTATAAGGTCGTTTGAACAACAGCAAAGACCGCTCCTTAGTGGCCTAACCGGACGAATTATTTCCGCTAAATATCGTAATGCGCGATTCTGTTATTTAAGTTCTGAACATCCAATCTGACTTCGTGAAACCCTTAGTCGTTGGATGACAGGAACGTGCGCTGATCTGAGACGGTCAGCTAATTTCGTCCTTTTTTGAGGAGGACAGCTGCACAACTTTGTTCGTGTCTGTGAAATCAACTTCACCTGGCACCACTTTTTTCTAGGTCGTAGAGTAAAACGAATGTTTTTTGAACTGTCTATAGGTACAGTCCTCTCAATAATTGTAAGTGGCGCTGTCCTGAAGGATCGTCTGAGTTTTAAGACATAGAGTATCTTTTGAATGTTCTCGAAGATCTAGTAATATAGAGCTTGATTATAGAGATTGGTTGTGTCAAAATGCCTAAGCAAGGTGTACTGTGAGATACCAATCTGAAGGAGCCTGGCCATGCGAGACATTTGTGGATTATGGTGGTTCTGAGTTTCCCTCTCACGACAATTCCTTCTTTGAGTGTCCAAGAGCTAACTAGGCTAAATATGTAACGATTTGAGTGAACTAGCCTCTGGTAAATACTCGTTGGAACTCATTTAGAATCCAAAATACATTTTACACTAGATGGGCCTCAGCTTCATTCTTGTATTCCAAATTCCGCGAAAGGTGCATTTTTTAAACGGCACAGTGATCTGTCTTTACAAAGTTTATTTACAAACTAGGTTTCACTGAACAAGAGAACGCATTGTTCGGAAGGTTAAGAAAGTCCTATTTTACAGATGGTCTCATATTGTAGGAGGAAGCTGATAAACCGAATATGCTCATATTTTCGGGTCACTTCGGATATCATTAAGCCGACAACTTTGTAAGCAATCAATTTTGGATTAACAGAATGGTCTACCCATTCCACTTCACTTGCAGAAAATAACTTGGTGTAATTCTCTCAGGAAGACAAATCATAGCAGCCATTCATTCGACATGTCTTCCACCTCATCAAACCACGTATAAGTGGCAAATGCTCCTTAAGCTACCCATTTGCCTTCAGAGACTCTGGTGCTCCGAAAGTTCTAAAATAAGCACCGATCAGCCCTTAGTTTCCACACCACTGGGTGAAACCGTGACTTGTTCGGCATTTTAGAGTAACTTCATTTCGTTATGGTTGCAACTCCATATTGAAGCTTCTAAACTTTCTTTACGTCTGGATGTTCTGGCACTTTTTTCGTCTGGATAGAACTTTAAGTTGACTCGGCAGGCTGCACCAAATCTCCTGATAGAATGCTTAGATTCGCCTTTTGATGTCAAAGTGCTGTTCAAACTATTTCAGGAAACTTAATTTATTGTACCATTTCCCTGACACTTTGATCTATCACCAAAACTCCTAAAGTTTCTGCTCAGATTTCTTAAGATTTGTCACCAAAAATCCCAAGTACTTTGATTTTATTAATTACACTAATTCGCAAATCAATTTCGTTTGCACGAGAGACGTAACTGAATCTCTCGTTTGTGATGGAACCTTGGGGACTGCGCCTACCTGATGAGACCCAAGAAGAGCGAAACCGGTCATGGGCTGTCGAAGAGTTTTCAGCAACCTTGTGAGTAGTTTCCTTTATGAAAATATGCTTGGATTTAACCTCTTAAAAAAGACCGGCATATAATCCCAAGTAAAAGGCACATTTATGACTTGTAAATCTGAGATAATGTGTATAAACAAGTTGTCTGATCAGCCAAGAAATATGAGTGAGTATAGGGTATACGCTGGCTCCGTTGTTCCATAACATATTGTAAGATCAGTCAAATAATGTTTAACCACATCTCGGATTTAACCTCTTAAAAAATACCGGCATATAATCCCAAGTAAAAGGCACATTTATGACTTGTAAATCTGAGATAATGTGTATAAACAAGTTGTCTGATCAGCCAAGAAATATGAGTGAGTATAGGGTATACGCTGGCTCCGTTGTTCCATAACATATTGTAAGATCAGTCAAATAATGTTTAACCACATCTCGCTTGTAGCTGAATGCCAATGGGATGGACGGGGACTCAGACCCATTAATCATCAATGCCGTAACAATGAGCAAGCCCGATTACTTGATCCAGGATCCTTTAAGTGCAGACCATCAAAGACCACACACAAATTCGCCAAAAAGTCCAAAGAAGAGACACAAAGAGACCCAAATGGGTTTTCCGGGCGATGAGGTAAGTCAGAATGTGCCTACTGTTTACGCAATTATAAGTAGTGCTTTTTAACGAATTGAAAGTGTATGCCATTGCATTGGGGAACATGTCAAAACTCTTCCAGAATATGCGATAAATCCAATGGAGTTTTAGCATTTGTCAATCTCTCCTTACCGTGAAAGTACATCACTGATACTTCATTTAATAAAGTACGTATATCTAACGAAAACAGGGTTGTTAATTGATCTCATTAAATCATTTTACTTTACTTTACATCAGTGTATTTTCGATAACGCTTCTGAAGATTGGGTCAGATGAATTAACCTGATATTTAAATTTCCATCGGATTTTGTTAGTGTTTTCGCATTTCTCAGGTCCGCTGTGGATGGATTGGCTTTCTAGAAGCACATGACAACGGTTTTTAATGACCAAGTTGGACAAAAACCAACAGATTTGCCTAATAAGTAGCCACCATGAAACTATGGGCACCTTGAATCACTGTCCGCTAACATCTCATTAAATACGCAATGTTCAAAGGAAACCAGCTAAATATCTCATCAGTATTACCAGTATTCATTCCATACACTCAGTTGGCGGACCAGGTGCAATTTGTTGTTCAAAATGTACGATGTTTACATCTGAACTCCAATGAAAGTCCTGAAAGGAGGTCCTGTTGTTTGAAAGCATATCCGACAGCAGAGCAATTTGAGTTGGTTTCTATCCGACATAGATTAATACGTGTGCAACTTCGAAATAGTTGGTTTAAGTAGATTAAAGCCCGCAAATCTATCCATTGGGGCAGAACTTCATGAAACTGAAAATAACTTTCATGCTTTTGAAGCGGATGAGTCTTTCGAATGCCTATATATTCAACGGATGGATCCTATCCCCTGCCCTGACATGTGCACTTTGTTGTCATATTCGGTTGACTAGTCCTTTCACTATTTGGCCTTAATTATTTCCTGGTGACTGCCAGTCAGAGAACATGTAGACACCTTGCAGCATCTTTAAGCAAACAAGGTATTAGTTATGTTCAATACAAGCAATAGAATTGGGATTCTGGCGCTCGACTAATGTGGCTACACGGCAAAGAAAAACAAAAATGAGCCATCAGATGCGACAACATTTCCTTTCGAGAAATCGGGGAAAATCATCACTCTTTGAAATTTCTTGAAGCTGCATTCTGTATTAGTTCGAAGTACCGGAGGAGACATCGTGCAGTATTTCGTGGATTATTGGAATTGCACGGACTGATTTTCCCCTGATGACCTACAGTTTCAATGACCGACAAACCTGCAACACAATATACTCATGTGGCTCGTGAAATTTATAGAACCTGTCGGGTGGCATCCATGTCGCCAAAGCTCGAGAGGTGCGTTAGAATTCGTAGGGCACGAAAGTCATCAATAATTCCGGAGTCTTCTAATGAAGAATCATTCTTACACGTTTGTGTCGTTTAATAAGACGGCTAAATTGGTATGCAATCGTTCTTTTCTCAAAAGTACCTCTAAGAAGGGATCGCGTACAAATTTGATGACGTTTTGATACATTATTCTATATCCGTCAACATTTTCGGAAATGAGACCAAAACCACACAAAAAATTTTATAGCTGGGTAGATATCTTGATGCGTTGGGATTGAACGCAACGCCCGCACCATAGGTACACACGCCGTGGACTCAGGATCATCAGAAGCCTGGAAATATGTACGTGAAACACCGGCGATTGTCTTAAGGGAGTTGAGAAGCATGTTGAGAGCGAGATCCATTACGCTTGTTCTGGAGAAACGCCTAAGAACAACAGAGGGGAAAAGGAAGGTTTCAGCAAGAGATACCTTTTTCTCAATGTGATACGGAGAAGAGACTTTGAAATCGACAAAATAGATAGGATATCGTGAGTTTATTTATGAATCATTTAGCTTTGTTTTACTATGGAGCTGTGTAAAAATGAACTGCTCGCTAAGCAACGGGTGGGTAAACTGAACGCCTTAGACAGGTGAGCCGGTGTGACCCATAAACGAAGAGGTGCAATAACAAATAATGCCACCGGGTTGCCCAAAATGACTGTAGGTTTGGGCAAAAAACCCACATTGAACCCTTGGTTCACTATCCGGTCCGTAAAGCGGCGAGCGTTAGGGTTAGGTTGGGGCCCTCCACGGAGAAGATAGCTATCTAGAGCTATCGTTCAGCTTCAGCATCCCTACGGTGCCTAGCTGCCATGCCACCCGAAGCAAGCACAAGGGCTGAGATACCGTCAGGTTGCCCAAGCCTAGACCGAGAAAGTTGAGAGGAAGAGGTTGGGTTCAAACAATAGACCTTCCAGTCAGTAACTTCGCGCTCTAACCACTTAAGCAGTCTCGCTCCCTCGGAGACGATAACTCAAAATCTAACTCAGTTGGCTGCCAGAAACTAATTTAGCCAGAGGGCTCAGGTAATAGGAAACTGTCTCCTTCCTAGTAGTCTCGCTAATAACAGATGCGTCTAAATCCGCATCCGGAAATCAAAATACTTTGGTTGCCTTTTGACCGTACTGTATTATTCGTTTATCATTACGATCAACCGTCGGGCGATATGAATATGCCGTTTCTCGGTCTAAACTCTTACAAACGGTTCTTTCTCGGACGCGTCGCTGGCTTGCTGAATATGCACGAGCTACTTATATGGAAAACATTATATTGCTTACACTCCATAATCGCACAGAACAATACAACTTTGTCTCGTAGTTCAGGGGCCCTTGCTTTTAAACGCGCCGTCCCCTTATTTGTCTCCTTGCATGATTAAACCTTATGGAACAACGTTATAGCCATTGAATTCAGCAAATACTTTGTGACAAGAACGTTTGTCGTCAGATTGGGCGGTTACTTCCCGTTTGGATAGGGTTCGTTACTATTAGACGCCTAAAAAGGGATTCAGGCGTTCAGAAAGTAATTATTTAGATTGGCTTAACCGCTATAAAGACAGGCGTTTAACGGTCTAATTTGTATCCAGCTCCACCCTCATTCTTAGGCCTTGTATTAAGCCCGACATTATCAAACCAACTCTTCTGCAAACCTCACACAAAGACAAACTTTCGTCATCCCTACCCCCAATTATGCATAAGCTACTCTAACTACTTACCTTAATATGGATATTTCAAACCAACCTGGTCCGATTCAGTGACGTTTGTACGCACTCACTTTGTTTGTTTCATAGATGCTACCAGTAAAATAGAAAACATAGCAAGATGGCACCACATTTTGTTTAGCAATCCCACCAAACTGTTGTTTCTTCTCAGTGCTTTCTCCGAGCTATCAGAAATAAGTCTTCGAGAAATTATTCTGTTACCCAAACAGCCGCTGTCAATATCAAAGCGAGTATCATTGATAGAAATTTGTCTTTTGGTGTTGCAGCACAGTTTAACCAACTTATAAGGTTTCGTTTCAGTTTTGCTTTCAGGATAAACAGATAGTTTATTCGGTGACGAATCCGATATGTACACTAAGTTTCATCGGTTGAGATGGAGTGCTCAATTATTCAAACTTGATAGTATGCGTCAAATATTTTTACTTATGTTGCCAAAATAAAATATTGGAATTTTTGTCATCGTTTACAGAATAATTCCAAGCCCTCAGGGTCAGCATCGAAACCATTCGACCTTTCCGAAAATGATGTCCGCATGTTGCATCGTCGAACCTACCTGCATGGCATGGGTGCATATGGTGATCCGGATTTTATGGGACCTCCAGGCTCACCATTTGATTTATCCAACTGGGACTGGTTAAGACTTGACGCGCTCGGGCCTGGATGGGAGCAAGCAATGAGGGATGTACCGGTTAACAGGGGAGAAGCCCTAAATTTACTCAGTACGTACAAGAGTACACTTGTCAGGACTTTCATGTACAATAAGAAAATGCAATACAGAAATCTTAACTTTGCCGCTTGAGCGATTTTTATTTATTTATTTATTTATTTATTTATTTATTTATTTATTTATTTATAGCCATTGAATTCAGCAAATACTTTGTGACAAGAACGTTTGTCGTCAGATTGGGCGGTTACTTCCCGTTTGGATAGGGTTCGTTACTATTAGACGCCTAAAAAGGGATTCAGGCGTTCAGAAAGTAATTATTTAGATTGGCTTAACCGCTATAAAGACAGGCGTTTAACGGTCTAATTTGTATCCAGCTCCACCCTCATTCTTAGGCCTTGTATTAAGCCCGACATTATCAAACCAACTCTTCTGCAAACCTCACACAAAGACAAACTTTCGTCATCCCTACCCCCAATTATGCATAAGCTACTCTAACTACTTACCTTAATATGGATATTTCAAACCAACCTGGTCCGATTCAGTGACGTTTGTACGCACTCACTTTGTTTGTTTCATAGATGCTACCAGTAAAATAGAAAACATAGCAAGATGGCACCACATTTTGTTTAGCAATCCCACCAAACTGTTGTTTCTTCTCAGTGCTTTCTCCGAGCTATCAGAAATAAGTCTTCGAGAAATTATTCTGTTACCCAAACAGCCGCTGTCAATATCAAAGCGAGTATCATTGATAGAAATTTGTCTTTTGGTGTTGCAGCACAGTTTAACCAACTTATAAGGTTTCGTTTCAGTTTTGCTTTCAGGATAAACAGATAGTTTATTCGGTGACGAATCCGATATGTACACTAAGTTTCATCGGTTGAGATGGAGTGCTCAATTATTCAAACTTGATAGTATGCGTCAAATATTTTTACTTATGTTGCCAAAATAAAATATTGGAATTTTTGTCATCGTTTACAGAATAATTCCAAGCCCTCAGGGTCAGCATCGAAACCATTCGACCTTTCCGAAAATGATGTCCGCATGTTGCATCGTCGAACCTACCTGCATGGCATGGGTGCATATGGTGATCCGGATTTTATGGGACCTCCAGGCTCACCATTTGATTTATCCAACTGGGACTGGTTAAGACTTGACGCGCTCGGGCCTGGATGGGAGCAAGCAATGAGGGATGTACCGGTTAACAGGGGAGAAGCCCTAAATTTACTCAGTACGTACAAGAGTACACTTGTCAGGACTTTCATGTACAATAAGAAAATGCAATACAGAAATCTTAACTTTGCCGCTTGAGCGATTTTTACTTATTTATTTATTTATTTATTTATTTATTTATCTATCTATCTATCTATCTATCTATCTATCTATCTATCTATTTACCAGCTCAACGGAGTTTCCGTGTGCTTTAAAACAAAAAGTTTTTCTGCTGCCGAGCCACGCTTAATGACACGAGAAAACATAAGGATCACATGTCAGTTAGCCAAGTCAGTCATACAGTTCTCCCCCTGAAAAAAGTCCTCTTGACCGTTGCTAAGAGCGCCTTTTCCGAAGCAGATGGTTGCTTGTTTATACCGTCTCTCAAAAAGCTACCACCACCCGGCTTACACAAGCCAATGTCATCCATCGGGTCGCCAGACACAATCCGAGGTCTTCTTTATGATTTCACTATGTAAAGTCAGCTGGGTCCACCGCGTGTTGCCCTCCAGAGCACTTGGTCGTACAGTTTTGCACTGATTCTGGAACTTTTGGATACAGTGATCTACTTTCAAGGATATTTTTCCCTTTCGTCTTTAAAATAAATTGTTTTCACGTTCACTCAGCCCTGTCATTTGACGGCTTCCTGTCCGAGACACTTACAGATTCCATTTCTTGAAACACAGACCACTCGATCTGCTTCTTTAGGATATCAGTTAGTCAGCAGATGTGGAAAATGCATTTGTTTCATCAGCGACGAGACGAAAACCATACCATGAGGATGGGGCAGGTATCTTGTAAACACATTCGCCAAAAAGATTCATTTGTGCACAAGGGTTCGTGGTTGTAAATTTTACGGTAGACGTGAGTACAAAAGCCAGATCACCCGTGATTGACCAGGCAGAATTGAAGAATAAGAGCAAGGATGAATCATGTAGATCGTAACGAGGGATTCAGCCAGTTTCGAGGGTAGTATCCCATCAAAACCAACTTGGTATGCAAATGAGTGTGTTTCGATAGCGATTACCGGTTTTATTAAGAAGAAAATAGATCGATGAAACCGGAATTTATGTGGTTGATTTGATTTTGTATGGGTACGCCTGGTGGCTATTAACGGACGTTTTGGAAACTGTTTTGGTCCTCTGTGTGAGTTCTCCCAGAGGCAGATTTATATGCAAATTTAGGCTTATTGATATTTATATTGAGGCAGATATGTTGGGCGAATGCGGAAAATTGGCTTGCAGCGCGACTTCCAGTTTTGGAAACAAGCCTGAAATTTGCCGCAAGATAAATGGGATTCAAGTCCGAGGTGACAAATATTTTGTCGGTATCCGTCGTGACGAATGCCAACACACGAAAAATGCTCCATTGTTTACTGCACGATTCTGTCCTTTTAGTGACCTAGGTGTATTGTTTGCTATGACTTTTTCAAGGTCACTTTTTAACATTAGGTTAACTTCTAGAAGTCTGTACCCTTCCGATAATTCATCCATGGGGCATATGTTCTTAATTACGCGGAAGGGAGTCGCACTACAACTGGCTGATAGGAATTGGGTACAAAACTCCTGAAATAGAGCTGCTGATTGTTTATTGAAGCTTCAAACAAATCTCGAGCGTCACTGGCTTGGCCTTTCTCTCAAAAGGTTCGAGAAATAAAAAGAGGTATACATTTGGAGTAAAAACCAAAATGTGAACAATATTACTTTCCATTATTTCGGACGGCAAAAGATTTGAAGAGCTTTTAGCTCAGTGGGCTACCCGTTGCGAGGCAACCTATTCTACTGTAGACTCTATCCACAAGGCTAGAACGGATAGTCTGTGCAAGTGATAAAAATAAGCTATTTTGGAAGTGCTGACAGGAAACCAATCAACCAACCTGGGGATGAAGCCTCAGCTGTCTAACATAACTAAATGAATACGTAAAAGTAAATAGCTCGTTTTATGAACTTAGTCAAAAATTATCCAAAATATGACAGTTCAGCGGAGGCCTTCAGACGAATTGAATCAGGAATTTCCTGGAAGGGTCAAATGCGTCTGCCAACCCCCGATCGATCTCATTAGGATGCCCTGACCGTGAAAATTTGGGGAATCTCTCGTTCTTTGTATTTGTGTTCTGACAGATCTCCGTTGTTAGTGCCTTGAACCCCTTGTTGCTACATGTGTACCTGAGTGGTAACATTTTTCGGTCAGATTTACATTCCCACATAGTGTGTCCGGTTAAAAACTTCTTGTGTCAAAATTATAAGGCTCGTTTTGAAAGGCAGTCCATCGTACCCATGATTACGGTACAAGATCCTTTGTTTGGTTTCATAAACACGAGTGATTTCCTGTTGCATAAGTGTTTGACATATAGCACTTAACTCCTCCAGCACCAAGTAAGAACTCCTGTCAGGCGTTTTTGTGTCCTCTCTTCACATCTTCGTTCCCCATTCCTAACAAGTTCAAGTGAAAAGTTTGTTTATATTTGTTACATCAAAAAGAAATTTGCAGAATTCATGAAGTCAGGAATCTAGCCCATCTGCGTTGATCGACAAACTGGTACGCTTCACTAATGTGGTCAGCTGGAATGACCAAACATTATTAAACAGGATAACACTGTTCAACTTTTTTCATAAAAGAAACTACCCACAAGGTTTCTGAAAACTCTTCGACAGCCCACGACCGGTTTCGCCCTTCTTGGGGCTCATCCGATAGGCGCAGTCCCCGAATTTCTGTCAACCTTATGATCTACTTGAACCTGTTCAACTTTACTTTTAGTTGTAATGAAGAAGAAACTACTACGTGCGGCCAGTGAACTCACATTCTACAAGGAGAGGGTGGCGCTGCTACAAGAACAACTGATCTACCAGAAAAGAAACGAAGAAAAATTCATCAAGGTTAGCTTCTTTTGGATCTGTGTGTCATAATTAAATTGCAGTCATTCGCTAGTGGAAAGTTAACAGCTGTGCTAATTTTATATGCCTTGGCTGCAGACGACTGCCGGGCGAATAACCTCGATTATTTTCGGTCAGATGTTATTATATAAGATTATATGTGAGTTCCATTCACCAGTAGTCTTTATGCTCTGGGGTGGTGTGCGGAGTTATCGCCTGAATAATCAGCAACTCGAGTGTTTTCACTTTTGAACAATAAGGAATATTAATTTTTGTAATGTGGAGTGGTTCGCTGGGGTATTTAGGTTTTTACTGCAGTCACAAGGCAAATGAAATATCCCGTCGGTGATGGGCTATCTGAGTTTCATTCATTCAGCTGCGCAGTTGAACATAGCGTCAAAAAGTTGTCATGTCGTGTAACCAAAGGAAACTAAATTGCCATGAAACATTTTTGTCGTCGAATTTGTGCCAGCTCACCAGTTTAATGATGACACAAAATACAACGACTGTTGTTGCGTATGAATTCATAGAAGAGTAAGAACAACATAAACGAGAGATTCAGCTGAGTTCTAGGTGAGTTTGACGTTGAAAACAAATTGGTATGCAGGTGAGTGTCTAAGTTCTAGGTGATTGTATGGGTTAGAAATATATGCAACGTTTTTATATGAAACCACTGCCGTGAATTTTTCCAAGTGCAAACATGTCGTCACAGCAAATTACCTTTGAGCTTCTGAACGTGTTTGCTTCTGAGACGAAAGCGACTGCGGGGAATTTGAAAAAAATAGGTTTGAGGTGTCTCAAAAAGAAATGCAATCACTCTCTTGAGTCTAACATTCAGACTAAAATTGAAGATAACACTGCTCTTTGCTGGGGCTAGCTGTCAAACATGCGCGTTCAAATTTTCACTCAGTCATCTGGTGTTTTTTCACTGTAGCAACACAGCATACTAGTGACAAAACCAGTCTGCATTAGTTCAGCATAGAAGAAAAGATACGGCTGTTCTATCCAGGCGGGAATCATGTCGCTGATCCACTACTACTGAAAAAATGGCGTGGCCTTCAGCCACTAAACAAAGAACCTACCGCGACGCTCACGAATGACTAGTCGCTAAGTCGATGAAGTGGATGTACAGTTGTCGATTTTCCATCGTAGATGAAACTGACTTCCGCAATGTGGTTTCAGTTACATTACATCATCGTATTAGAGTCCTGGACGTTTAAGCAAACGGGCTACTATGATTGCCGTAAATCGTGATATCTAACTAGAGAGTCGAAACCAAATTCAACTTGATTTGAATAGTACGATTCATTTAGCACAGTAATGCGTTACATTCGCTTGAAATTGGTGCAGACAGCAGACGTTTTGCGAAACATAGGAAGTGCAAGTGTTTATTGGTAACTTACCGGTTCATGTTGTGGTGATAGGTTACTACAAAATAATGTCACGGTAGCGTATATATGTATTGGATGTCACTCTTTCAATTTTCTGTTAAAGGCTATCTTATCTCGGGACAGTCAATATGGATCTTGGAGATGTAACTGATAAATGTGGAGGATAGTTTCATTTATTTCGTAACCAATGTTAATGAACAATAAGCCCGTTCATTGATATTCAGCCGGGCGCTTCACTTCACTCCTCATTGTCTTTTTCAATGACTCGTTGAGTTGGGCTTAGTGTCTGATATGGACTGATAAAAAGTCTATTCACAAATCCGTAGAAATGAGGTCCATTAAAATGGCCGAATTGAGTATGATAATCACCATGTCACGAAGTATGTGCTTCTGGGTGATTCTGTTAGATTATTTTACTGCCAAAACCCTGTCGGTTTGAAATTTGAAACTTAGCTGTTAAAACAAATTTCCAACTCAGCTCCGAGCACATTACAAAGCGCAACTCGAGGAAGTAGAGAAACTCCGAGCCAAAGCGGCCAAGGTCCCAGGGTTAGAAAAAACCGTACGGCAGCAGGAAGAATTGATTACACGCTTGGAATCTTTTCTTGACAGACAAAGAAGTGAGTGGTTGTTTTATTAGAATGATTCCTTCTTTCCACGATATCCTAGCCAACCGCAAAGTAGTTCGTAAATAAAAAGCTGTCCAACCAGATTTTACATAAAAGCCACGGAAAATTTTCGTTAATTTTTTGGGTTTTACAATGTTGATGATTTGGTTAACTTCCAATGGTGTCTTGGCGGTTATTAGTATACAAGTTGTTCCAGAAGTAGTGTCGGCCGTCTAACATCTGCCCCCACAGATTCGCCCTGTTGTGTCTTGAAGTACGGTAGTGCAACTCTGTGTCGGTCCCTTGGCTTCCTGCTCCGCCCCCTATGGTATAGCAAAAGGCACGGTAGCTCTACACAGCCCTTTATGGAGACAAAGGAAAATTAGTACAACTGTATTTATAGGGTAGTCACGGTGTGTTCCACAAGGTCGTTCCAGAATCTCCGTGAGGGGGCGAGAAGCGTCGAGTCACAGGTGCTTGACTCGGATTGGTTGGCATTCTGACCAATCAGTGCGTGCCTTCGTTTGGCCCGTGTCCTGCACGTGACATCCGTCCAAATGATGTGCTGTTCGGTTATTAGGGACGGCTGGCCCCCGAACACGCCCTTACTTTTTTGGAAAAAATGCGCACCTGAACTAAACTTCAGGACAGCCTGACGTACTATCGCATGCAAATGTCAAAGTTTCGGGCTTTGCACGTAAATTTGCCACCCCACCAAACACAATGAAGACTTTTCATTTGCTAAAATGCTGAAGAGATTCCAAAACCACCGCGTTTTTTAGTGTGAATTTTGTGACAGAAGCGTAAAATTCTCAAGTTCCTGTGCGGCGTATTTAAATGACCGTTTTATGGACATGTGGTATGTTTTTTTAAAAGGGTTGGCAGAACTTCTTCTTTGTCGAAACCGCAGTTCTAGATTGTCACGGCATTTGTGAAACCACGATCATCAAAAGAGCATGGTCATCTTCAAATCGTTCAAGCGCAAAACGTCTTGCACAAATATTGGTTGCTAATCAGATTTGCTGCCCTAATTACTTGGTGAGGAGTGGCAAGAGAAACTACAATATAGATTGTAATTGGAAAACTGACGTTAGTTAGTTCCCCTCACAGATATACTCATTAAAATCTCTACAGTTGTCGGTGGCAAGTGGACCGGTCTATCACCCAACTAGGATTTCGCACAAATTAGCTCAAGGTCCGTATTTGTTGACTGCTAATACCGATCATCTGGATGTTGTTCTTACAAGTCCCCAACCCATTCCAAGAAGCGCAGTAAGTGTAAGTAGCAAATGATACAATCCAGACAAACCAATCTGACAACTGTAGGCAAAAAGATTCTGTATTTATGCCACTTAAATGGACATAGAGCGGCGAAATATGTGTAAACCTTGCAATGCAGTTCACCGCCTCCTCGGACACATCTCAAAAAGGCAGTACAGTATAACTGAAGCCGTTGAGGAGTTTCTGCCCTGAATTGTAAGGAACTGGTGAATTACTACCTAAATAGCAAAACCAAGACAGAGTGCTTTTATTTACACACTTATAGGTTCCAATCACTGATAGTATGAAACTCGGTAAACTGCCACAATTTGCCTTTCGCTGCACACTACTTAATGCCGAATGCAGTAGTCGGATTGGTTTAAAGTAAACAACGCCAACCATCAACCTACCATCAAAATTGAATTTTGACGGCATGCAGCAACCTCCTTTATATATCAGTGCATCCAAGTGTCTGCGTTCTGCCTACCCATCAAGAATCCGCCTTCCATCTCTCCCAAGATAGCTGTCCTGGCATCTACTTATAAAACTGTATATGTGTTTAGGCATACTATAATAAGTTAGTGACTGACGAGATTTTGTTAAGGGTTTAGGTCACTTTAAACTTTGTATCGAGCCGACGCGTTAAGTAGCCGGTTCCGAGACAGAGCAGCAATCTTCTGTCCTCAGCCGAGAATTTCCATTGAGTTTCTATCAATTCCGTCTGATACTTATTCGAACAAAGAATCTCCTCAAATGCTCGCGTTCTCAGCCCACGACGTCGTCCGTGAAAGCGCTTCTCGCTGCATTATGTAGAGTTCTAAAAAAACCCTAGTAAACCGTATTGGTACAAGTCCTGCATAGTGAATATACTGACTAGCCGGGCATATTTTCAGTAAACTTGCCTACGAGTTGTTCCATGTTCTCGATGAGGTAGTGGGATAATCAGAAAAGCATTGGTATCACCCATCTTGTGTTCATCTGTAAACTTGTCGTTTTTATGGACAGTGTTCAGTTCCTGGAGCAGCTCCACTGTTTCTTGCAACGGTTTTGCAAGCACCAGGACATCATCTACATGTAAAACCTAATCTTTTTGAACCATTTGAACCTTCTACGCCGACCAAGATTTTATGTGCTAACACAACACAAAGTGTACTGTCTCTAGTGACACTGTGTCCTGGAAAACGTAGAGAAAATCATTTTCGGAGACTTCATTAGGCTGTAGTGTATCAAGATTGAAATCAAATGAAAATGCGGATATCACTAGCCAGAATAAGGCTGTGGACAAAAATTACTGGAGGTTCCCAATACGGAACTTTGAGTGACGCGCAGGTTCGACAATCCCGAATATCAGAAGGGAGAATTGGGTTCGGCACTACGGCAGTACGGTCTACGGCACTATTTACACAAGGGCAAGCAAATGTGTACAGCAGGCCCCAATTGTTCGCGTTCGTGGCGTCAATTAGTTCACAGGTCTGTCACTGACCGCCACAGTTCAGGTCAACGTCCGCACACCGAACATCGGCGAGCGGAATGATGGCTCAGTAGAGTGGGTTGCGGTCGTGATTCTCGTGATTCTTATTGGGCGTGCGATCACGCGGAACCCATGAGAAAACAAGTCAAGGCAGGCTTAGCAAAAGGGACATGAACGCGCATGGGTAAGAAGATAAGCAGCAAACATTCACACAGACACACATGTCAGTACACAAGTGTCGAACAGGACGGCCCCTGCGGCAGGTGAGCGGCTGGTACGGATAAGCAAAACAACTAGAGAACATAGACGGCGTAAGCAACTGAATGAGGGAATTATCATAAGGTCGAGTTAGGTTCAACAAGGTTTTTGCCGGCCGTCTCGGAACCATTTTTTGCGTGAGTCTTAGTAGCACGTAGAATTATTCTTTTCTGCTTTTCAGTAGAATTACAATCTTTACTGCACTTCGTTTTCCCCACACCGAAAGTAGACCTTGTCACGTTTTCACTTGCACCGATGAAATCCGCGCTAACGGTAGGACCCAAAAGTGAAAATTTCAGCCACTTCCACTGAAGCAAATTCGCTATGGTTTAACTTATTGGTTGGCTAGGAAATGTGCGTATGACGACTAGCTTATGTCATGTCAAAACGCGACGCTTCATTTTTCAAACTATCACTATCAAACGCCAGGAGCTTGCGTAGGATTTAACTTGACACTCCTTTCTGTTTCACAGGTCGCAATGTGAATGAAAACTTCAATAAACGTGCTCCTGATACAGATCCGTACGATGTAAACTTATTAGACCACTTACCTCCAACACCCACTCCATTGCCCGAAACCTCGGACGCCGTCGCAGCCACAGCTCTACGCAACCTATCCAGTGAGAATGAAAACCTCCGTCAGACTGTGGCTGAGTTGAGCCGAACGGTAAGAAATCTGGCTCAGCAGCAACAAGATGATCACGAGAGGCAAAGAGAGTTAGAGGATCGACACCGAGAAGAACTACAGTCCATACGTGAACAACAAAATAGGTTGGCTGAACAACAGTTCACACAAAACAAGCAAATGGATTACGTTGTAAGTTATTTGGGTCAGCAGACGAAAATCCATGAATTTCGTGAACCCGGGAGATTTAATTGGATGTTAGGCTGTAGAATGTCACCCATAAGGACAGCTTTGCCTGTTATGCTGTGTTACAAAATCGGTTCGAGTGAAACCATCAGTTGGATGCCATCATAGATCCAAGGCAAAATATTTTGACATACATTGACCACGCTTTCATTGTGGTGCCTCAAAAAGGTGACAATTAGTTGTATTCGGGTTCTGAGACTGTTGGTTGCTTCCAAACTTTGGAATGTTGATGCCAAGAAGCTGAGTGTTGCTCTCATCAAATGAGCCATATTTTATGCACCATCGAGCCTGGGTAATGTCGTCATTTGAACACATTCGATTGAGGCTTTGTGTCAATCCTACCCAGGTATATTGTGGGAGTACAATAGAATGGTTGAATTTGATTATCTTGAGGAAGATATTTCAAGTGCATGTTCCGTTTTTGTTCAGTAATGGGGTTAAACTAAAATGTTCAGATCTGTGTTACATAACGTCAAAGCGCATATGCTTTTAACGTGTGGATGTGTCCAGTGGCAGGACGTCGTTGACTAGTCAGGTGAGCGGATGTCGTTTTGAGAACAATGATGATAGCAAGCAAAGTTCGTTTGCTGTGATTGTTCCTCTTTGCTAACACATCACAAATTTATATGGTACCAGAAACCAAGTGAGAAAGGTTGAAATCGGGGATACATACACTTTAGCGAAATAGAAATCAAAGAAAGGGGTTGAATGAAGGTTAGGTCATTGGGCCGCGGAATATGGTGAGTGACGTTATTGTAAGGCAGACTTGTGGAACCAGGGTTTTTTCAGTCCAGTTCAGGTTCAAAGGCCGCACAATTTTCTTCTGGACGCAAGGTTACGGATCCAGCCGTTGGATTCCAATTGCTTATGCGATACCAGTCGTGGTCAGTTCAGGGGTACCCGATGTGTGATAGTGAAGCCTTCTGCTCTGTCTACTGCCTCTACTGTGGTTTTGGCCAAATGCGATGAAATCGCACTTGAGGCTGAAATCCCATTGTCTGTATAATAGATATCAAAACATTCCATACGGTATCACCGACTAAATTTAACACCAGATAGTGAACCGTTCGTATTCGACCAGTACTGAAATGGATACTTGCGCTCTTATCCTTCATTTATACACTGACGTGAGTCAAAAATTTTTTAATTGTCGTGGTAAGCTGATAAGAGTAGCACCTTCCACCTCCAGTTATTTATTCAGCTACTTGGATAACAACTAAGTAACTAAATTCTTATGGAGGTGTGCAGGCTTTTTGCAGTTTAGAGTAAGGTGAGCCAAACACCCGTAAATTTACAGTTCTCTTAATGTCTTGGCTAAACCAGAGTAGGCACTCAGATAATCAAGCACTTAGAATAAGAACAATACTACTGAAATATGCAGTCATAGAGACATTCCTGAGCTGTAGCTATTGAGTAATCAAATTGAACCAAGAACACTAATACGTTTTCAATCCGGCTGATTTCGGCTTCACTGCTTACGGCAGGAAAAACAAAACTTGAGGAATGGCGGCTCCGGAAAGAGAAAAANNCAGGAAAAACAAAACTTGAGGAATGCCGTCTCGGAAAACGAGAAAACAGAACTTTATCGAATGCTTGAAGCAGCGGATTATCGAATCAGGAATTTGGAAGATGAGGTATGTCAAGTTCATTGAAATCATTTCGCTTCAACCGTTTGATAATAATATTTGCCACACAGTGTCTATCATTACTCACAATGATTGTTAGAAGTGGCTGTGTGTCGTTCACTAGCCCTCACCCACCCTCTCTACGCATCACATCATGCAGAGCACCCAACTCATTTGCCATTCTCCTGAACACCGTTTTCCTCCTGTGAACTGTCATTTGGTTAAGCAAACTAAAATAATCCAATTTTAAGCCCCAAATGTCTGGTTTACCCTGCAGCCATCAGGGCAAAATTGTGCAGCAGGCATCTCCTTCTGAATCCTTGCCTTGCCATCCTGCCGAAGTATGTTGTCTCCAAAACACGCATACAAGTCGTCAACTTACTCTTGCACCTCAAGCAGTGTAGGACGAGCTCAAATGCTCCACATTTCGCTCTTCAAGTACCTGTGATTCTGATGCAATGACTCGAGATATCTACGGTGTGGGATTCGCACTCACCGTAAGGCTGGACAGATTCCAGGCAACCCGTCGTTTTCATACCGGAATGTTGTTTTCAATTACGGTCACTTGAGGTGAACTGGGTTAACGGTGTTCATTTTTCACATCAGCTTACATCCCGACGGATTCCAGTTCTGAACCTGAGAAGGACCAGTTAGAACATTTGTTGCAGCTTTCTGGATCAGCAAGTGAGACCGGTATAGCCACCATGGTGGGCGAAATATACGCCCTATACGAAGGATTGAGCCCGAAAGAATAACTGTTATGTCGTGGATTTAGAGCCTATCCTGAGCTTGCAAATAATGGAAGGTGACTTATTCGGTTGTGTGCAGAACATTGCCAAGTTCGAGCTTTTAGCTCTAGAATTCATACCAAGTTTTTTGCGGGCTACAAACCGCAATTCAGCCATCAACTCATCTGAACCATGTGGTACTCAGTTACCAGTGAAAGGTGTCAACAGGAGAATTGTCTTTATTCTGGACACACAGTTTGTAGACTTGGCTATCGTTTCATTTCGTGACCGAAACAAACCAGCTCTGCTTATCAACTTCAACTAGAACCCGTAGGCCAAGATTAATGAACTGATCTTCGTTGAAGGCTTCTGCGGGGAAGGTTAGTTGGAAGTTGAGAGGAAGCGATTTAAAGTCGCTATGTTTTCGGTCCGACTCGACAAAATAAACGTTAAAATAGTCGAGAAGAGTAAAACTATTTTGTTGGTGCCGCATAATCGAGGTTTTAAAAAGTGTCAGATAATGCTGTCAGATGCGAGATTCTAAGATGCGGAGAATCCTATTTGCTGCCAGCAGTAACCGCAAACTCTTTTAGATGATTCGATCAATCGGCAAAAATAGGCAGTAAAACGATGTGCAAAAATGACTTAAAGGCAGTTTATTCCCAAAATTGTTGCATTAAATTAAATAAGTGCTGAACTGCTCATATGAAAGCCTTCAGCATAATATCCAGAAGAACCCAACACCGCTCGCCGAAAAGAAGACATCCGGTTTAAATACCATTCATCCAGCGCGACAAAGCATATGGACCAGTGCACAGCCCACTGCACACTTTTTAAAGGCAACTAAGTCCTTCTACGGAAGATTGGAACAAAAACAGAATGTCATTGAAGTGGAGCTTTTCGACCATGTCCCAGCCTTCAAAAAAAGTACAAGGACGTCATGCGAAACCACTGCGGCGTCATTTTAATGCCATGGCGTACACTATGATCTCTGTCATCATTTTCTGCCGGTGATTGAAGGTTTTTCTCCCTAACTTATATCTCTCATGAGGATATTTACGTAAAATCCTTTGGGTGCACATTATCACACAAAATGATTTTGCCTTAATTCACCAAGTTCACTGGTGTAAAAAACCCAGCATCATTCATCAATCTTCTTCAGCTTTCATACTGATACGCTGAATGAAACTCCTCCCTCTGTCTCTGAAACCTCAGATGTCGAAATTCTTACTGGGAATTCGCTCACAGACACTGAGTATTTGGACGGTGTTTATCCCGTCGATTAAGATTCTTTAAAAATGTAGGTAATTTTAAATAACATAAAGAAATCTGCTTCACGGTTTTGTATGCGCTTCATTTCTGCATGGTATAAAGTATTACTAAAAACCCGAGATAGATTGCAGAGGAGCCGATTTACGTGGCAGATAAATTTGGTAGTTTGGAGGGCCGTACAACGTCCAGTGAAATGGTTGAAGTCGAGATTATCTCTGGAAAAAAGGGAGTCACGAGAGCTTCGTCAACTCTCACACCTGAAGCGTAAGCTTGGCGTGAGTTCATCCATCAATGGCAAAATATACAGTGCTATCCATAATGTAGTCTGTACGGTGATGTAAGAAATCTGTCAGTACTTAACCACCGATGTCTCCAAAGCATTTGCCGGGTTGTTTGGAATATAAGATTAGTGATGCTGATGTACGAAGAGGCCTCACCTCACTTCATACAACATGGCAGCCCGTAATCTATCCTGATACCCTTAAGACTAATGGTATGTCGCTTTGCTATTGTAGTTGCTTCAAATAAGCCAACATGACACTACATAATCGTGCAATGACCTCATCTGTCAGAGTACGTTCAAAACTAATGCAACTTACGTAAAACGCCCACGATGTTGAGTGTCTCCTTTGTACTGTAGGGGACATGTTCAGTGGCTGCACAAGTAAAAGCGCGAATTTACACGTAGTGGATGCAAGGCCAGTTCACTCAAATACATCTGCGCCAACCTATTTACCACTATCGAGGTGACATAAGTGAACATATTTCTTTGTTCAAGCTGCCTTTGATAGTTTCCAAGTAAAACTACCGATAGCAAAGAGCACTTAAAGTGTTACGTGGCAGTCAGGCTGGTGTTCACGTTGTACCAACTCGTTTGACTGGGTAATAGATTTATCATGCATTGCGCAGTCAGACTATCCTGAAAGTCGGTGAACCTACTTAAAGCAATCTCATCCCTGATAGGAATCATCAAAAGGCACTTCACACAAGGCTACTGAGAAAAAGCTTTGGCTGTGAAATGAGGTTGCTGTCAAGTGGAGCGTAACATTATTACTTCTGAATCACACCCATGTGTTTACTGAACTCTCTCAAGTTATGACATTCTAGAAGAAAGCGTACGTCATTTTCTGGAACTGTTTCCACGGCTAGGGCGGAGACCTATGGGTTCCAATCCATTGTTCGCATTTGCTGTTGTTGTGAAAGTCCGAAAACCGCTTTGGTTAAAATTGCAATTCTCAAGAAGAAGTTCTTCCATGTCGGTAGTTAGAGGCCTTATCATGTACTTAAACTACTGATATATTTGAAGAATATCCGTCATTCTACTCTAATCTACATAAAATCTCCAAATTGCCTCTATTTCAGCTTGCCAGTCGTGCTCCAAGGTCACGAATACCATACTCAGAAGGCACTCAAAACCCCAACAGACCATACGTCTACAGAGAACCACCTTGGAGAAACCCCGGTCAGGTAAGACTTGATGGAACCTGCCAGCGGAGCAAAACTTTCGTGTAGGACCATCACTGATGAACTGAACCTGAGTTCACATACTGTTCTACCTAAAGGCCAAAAACGCCTAAAGATAACCAGTGTCATGGATGCAATCAAGTGTGCATTCACGATTTTGAATTCCATTTTCTAGTGCACAACTCATTTATGTGATGAGTTAAAGTATTTCACTACCATAAGTATTTACCATGTCCATTTGGGTTAAATCAGCAGCTGCGAAGGATAGACCTAAATGGATCTCATGGGATCATGCGTAAAACCTGAGAGTTTCACCTATGTCTTCAGACGGAAGGGGTGGAAGTTAGTGAGGATCCACAGCTCGGTGGGGAGACAAAAGGAATTCAATTATTCCTGAGACTGTTGAGGGTCCCAGGTGCACTGTCCGTGCCTGTGCTGTATTTTGTAAATCTGGAGAAGAAACCACAGGTAGCTTGACTGGTAGTTGTTGAAAATTTTCAGTCAAAATATTCAGTCATTCTGCTATTTGGGAATGAGCAAGCCATTTGTGTGTAATTATTTTGCTCCCCAGATCTTTCGTGTGTATTATATTAATGGTCAGAAGGCATCCGTGTCCGAGCTTTGATAACCTTTAGTGTTGCTTGGAATCCAATGCTTAGATCTAGTTTGTTGCGCCGTCTCAAAGGCCAAAGCCTTGGTTCTTGCAAGGCAGGGGCCATGTAAGAGTAAACACTACATAGCCTACTGTCCAAAACAGACTTAGTACGTAGTGTTGTTAGTCTTGCTTCCTATGTGGGTCCTACGGCCTGCTAACGGCCAGACGATATGTGCGCATCTTGAGTGAACGCAAACAGCAACGAAGAGGCTTCTTAAGGCGAAGTACTGTTCCAACCCGCTTCATTTTTCAGCTGGTACGACTTATGTATAGTGGAGAAGCGTTAGCGTTGAACATGATGATGTGCAGTTGACGAACATTGTGATGGCACGGCATTCTACAACTAGTGTAACGGTGATACTACTGATCGGGAGGCACGCGAGTAGTATGTGTTGTTCGTAGAATTTCGCTTTGCGTCGATTGAAAAGGGAATTCTGTTGCGGAATTCGCGGGGCCACTTTGTTACATTTGCTTGGATTTGACCGACGAATGATCGGAGTCAATGAATCTCCAGGACCAGTCGCTCGGGAGAAGATCTGTATCCAGTTTTTGTAACTAAGATACAGATTAGGGTTTTGCTTCCCTGTTCAATGGTCTGTAACTGGTCAGTTGTCATTTCCGAATAAATGACTCCGCAGCGGAGGCCTTCTTCCTTTCACTAATAGTAAATCCGTGTGAGGGAGTCTTCTCTTACGTCTTCTGAAAACTCTTTGAGAGCACCTGGCCATTCTGCCGCTCTTTGTGCTCATCATGTGGGCACAGTCCACGATGTCCTGCATGAAACTGCAGTGGATGAATTTTTTCAGGTACTATAATTTGCATAGTCAAAACTGAATTCAACCGAATCACTCTTTAATGGTTGTCTTCTTGGTACTCAAATAAGAGTATTTGGCAAATTTCATCCAACTGAGGTTCAAGTGGAACATAAATTTTACAGAAGCGGGGGGGCTGTGCCTATCCGCTGAGATCCAAAAAACGACCAAACCAATCGTGGGCTATCAGAGCTTTTAGCAAACCTGAAAGTAGTGTGTCGCGTCTACCTGTGAAGTCGGTTGTCAGTACGAATCCGCTAAATATGGCTATTGTTGATGCGATTCGTTTTTACTTTCCCGCATCTTGGCATGGAACAATGATCGTGGTACACTCAAGTAAACATATGGCATAGGACAACACCGGACCTTGGTGCTACCACGTCGTGTGCTACATAGCTGTCATTGGATTGCCAAGTACATATATTACGTGAAAGCCTCTCACTCAGTTGTGTAACCCGGTTCCCCCCTCATTCACATCGAATACCAGTGAGCCACATACGACAATCTCCAGCGTATTTCTACTGATGGACCTAAATGAAGACTTTCCTATAGGCCATCAACAGGGAAGTTATCGTAAGCCAGTTTACCTCCTGAGTTTACGTTTGCTCACTTATTTTCTTTCAACCCATATCCCAGCGGTTTCCGCCGCGTTGGACGCTATGTCAAATATCCAAAAGGTTCTTTTTTAACAGGCAAAAAACTTCCTTCGTTTTCTTGTCACCTACTGGACCAAGGTAAGTGGCGGGGTCACGTATATTCTATGTAAACATCCAAAGGCGCGCCAGTCTGTTGAACTATACGTGAAATTTCATCTGCGAACACGCATTTTAACTTTGAAACCTTGAAAATTGTCCCCTGAACTTGAGGAGGCGGGCTGCACTCTTAGTAAGCAACATTTGACGTACTTTTAGCATCCGCCCACAACTCAGAATACACATCAGAAAAGAGGAAATACTTGTTGATGTTTACTGCCATGACCACAAAAATAGCCTCACAACATTGCTTGTCTTGTCAGTTAAACTAATTGCAGTTACTCTTCCGCTATGGTAACTGTGGCAGACACCAAATAGCCACGTTATTCCAAACCTGATATTAATTTAGACTGTGGAACAGATTGAAATAACGTGCTCACCTGATTCCTTCAGTCTGGTTTTCATCATATTTTATTCTAAGGATACTACAAACTGCAGTGTGAAGTTTATGAGTTCCTTCGTGTTCCTACATACGAACAGAGCACAGGAAACTGGAGTGGCGGTACCTATTTACGGATTCTCACAAACCAACAGTTAATGCGTTCACCTGAGTTTTCGCAAAAGCATAATTAGAACAAAAGTATAGAGACGCCCTTTTTTTACCCACAAGTATTCATTTAACACGCGTCAAACTTAGTATTCATCAGAACTGGTTTCCGGCTTGTAATAATACTTTGCTCTGAGAACTGATGAGAATCCGGTGATGTTTTCTTCACCTACTTACATAATTATGTCATAAGCTACTTTGTGACATAGGGCCTGTTCAAAATAACGTTCGGGACACAGAGCACTTCTCGGGTTCCGATTTCGAATGTCTAGTATTTGAACTACAATTTACTTTTCAAAGTTTGGTCTCGGTGGCAAAATCTTTCTGACCGTTTTCACCTAAGTTTTTTTACGAAACTTTCGGGTTAGGTTGAAAAATTTCATTTTGTTTTCTATAAACAGTCCAAAGTCCCACTTGGATCAAGTTATGTCAACCGCAATCGATGGTCGCCCCGGCGGAAATCGAATCGAGACCGGTCGACACGAGGGCTTTCACTGTTTAGCTAGACTATCCTTATTGTAAATGGTGGTCGGTTATTTTGCAGTAGCTTTTGCTGTTTTATTTTCGCGTGCAGTAGCTTGCCAATTACTTCATTTGTTTCACGCACACATATGCGAGTGAAATGCGTGATCTGTGTTTTGTACTCTGATCCGTCCAACATTTGTCTGAACTATTTCCACACCAACTGGCATTCTGGAAATTCGAGATTCGTTGGCTCGTAACCGGTACGTGGGCTCAAAACAAATGTGTAAAAAAAGAGACAAAGATGTGGAAATTTTCGCGTGTTTTGGACTAAGTTTTTGCCTAATCAACACCAGTAGAATGGTTACTCTGCAAAATGTAGGTTTCCTTTTTCTGCGTTAGTCAGCAACTGCTTTTGATTTAGTCGCTCCGACGTGCTTCCTCTTCTTTTCGTGGAAATTTGAGTACTTAATGATTCTACCAATTCACTATGTCAAGTCATAGATTACCGTGTTCGTAAGTTAGTTTTAAACCAAAAAATACAGTAATTTGACGATATAAATGGAAAAAAGCATTGTTCTTCCCAGTCCGTCAGCTTGAAAAACATTTAGTTCTGAATGATTAATCCAGGAACACGAAGAGGAACACCATGATCAAATTTCTCTATAGATGAAAGAAGTATCCTGTTCTTCAAAACGTAACAAGAATGCTTCCTGTGGATGTCCCGCAAACCATAAGCTATGCAGCTTACTGCAAACAAACCTCAATATTTCGGACAGTGTGTGAATGAATCGCTAGTATAATCGGTCTTAAATATTTTTAGAAGGCGCATTGATAATGGCACTTTACAGTTTCAGTTATACGTGACTGGGGTAGTTGTGGACAGATATGATACACGCATAAATGAGATGACTTTAGGTAGCTACCATAAGTATATATTCGTTGGACCTGAAGGGTTATGACCTGTCTCACTGGCCCCGAAACAGCGTGTTTATTTGTGTTGTCTGTTCCACGTTATAGATTAGGACACCCTGAGCACTCCGCCTTCTAAGTAACCTTACAGCATCTCACTAGATTATTTGCCACACACAGAGTATCTCCTGGTAGTATTTTTGAGAACAGTGGAATATATTCCTTAAACGAATATTTTGAACTCGTTGTGTTCGGACATGGACTGGAAGAGCCACTAAAACAACCCTACAAGCAACACTTTAGTAAAGACGGTTTATAGTACAATCACTCAAGCAAATACTTTATTTGATAGATTGTTTGTGCACAAAAGGTGTCACATGGTATGTGGATATTAATGTCCGTTCAGTAAATTGTGCCCTTATTTCGGTTAACTGAAGTACCGAGTGCACTGCTGGTAGCACAAAACATAGAAACTACGAGATGTCAGCCTGATACTTCTCAGTGATTTTTTCTTAACACGCAGACAATTGCTAAGCCCTGGTGGTTTACAAAAGACTACAAGTGAAACAAGAAAATGATTCAGACTTTATTCTGAATGTGATACGTTAATTGAGACCTCATTGTTGTGGTTTATGGGGAGGTTTGGTCGGGTACGAAAGGCCTAAATCTTACTCGCTTTATTTTGCATAGCTTACATATCCTGTTACCTGGTAGTTTTCTGCCATGGAACTGCTGTCCTCTAGAGTTGCGGCATGCAGTAAGGTAAGTGTCACCACTTCTTCCTGATCGCATGTACATCATTTCATTTCAGGAGAAACCTGGGAACCGACTTCCTCCGGTAATTAACCAGCGCGACAAGCATCAAAATAGACGTTTTCCGCAGGAATACGTTCGAGCACATGCTTCAGACTCTGGACTGGAACAACAACGCAGGCAACTCCAAATGCAACCAAACGCTCGCCGTTACGATTCAACTATTTTAGACGACGACTGGTTGGGTGATCTAGTGACAGACGATTTCTAACCATGCTTGCATCGTTCTCCACAGTCATATTGTAAAAAAGTTACCATTTAAGTAACTCCTGTACATTGTCATCTGTTCAGATTGTCTTTTTGGCCCATGCCTATTGTTTTTGGTGGGCTAACAGATGAGATAAAAAGAATCTTTGTTAACATACTGTTTGTCATAGGATGGTTCCAGAACTCAGAATACTAATAAATTTGTGATTTTCTACTGACTGAGGAGGATGTGAGGATGTGCAAACTACCCAGTCTAATCTAAGCAAGATAAATGCGTTCAAAAATGCTAAAATGATAAAGTCTATTTACCAGTTAGTAAAACCGGATACCAGAGCCTGCTGTAATTGTTTTGGGTGACGTTTTTCGAACATCAACTGACTGATTGGTGGTAATTTGTGGCCATGGCAACTAATATTTCGCAAAACTGTTCACGGATATCTCAGTCTTATAAAAATGCCTCCGCTCACTCCCTGAATCGTCAAAGAAGGAAGACAACAACATCCAGCGGCAGGTTTGAAACTCTGAAACTTCAAAATCTTGCGTGCGTACATTTGAAAACGTTGAGCTATTTATTCAAGCCAGAAAATAGCAACTCGGATCAGTTCGCATTATAATAGTTGCATGATGCTATGGGTGCTGTCACAAAAATTGTGCATCCGTTTTCTTAAGTACTTAGTATTAAGCCACTATCTGGAACATACACAGCTTGCGGATCTATGGACCTTATAACGAATTGACCTGATGTTTCGATCTCTACAAGTCCTCAAATCCAACGAAATTTATTTTTTGGTTGGCCGAAAAAATCTCCACCGTCAGTTTACATGGCCGTATCACAGAAGGCGTTTATTGCCTATGCTTTTTAATCCGTCTGTTCTGATACGCCTTAATCCTGTAAAAAGGCAAGTAATTTGACGGCGCTGTGTGTGTCTTTGATTGTTGAATTAAAAAGCTTCAAGATGTCGGACAACCGGATGAAACGAGCCTGCTAGTTGATGTCGCAAGCTTTCTCTTTCTCAATGATCTTCAGAATAGCATCGTTTGTCTTCTTTCCGACCTCGGGTAAGTACAAAAAAGATCGTTCTGACAACTTGCTATTACTGCTTGTACTTCATCTTCCAAGGATCACTGGTACGAATTTTTTCATGATCACCGTATCTTAGTTTAGTCTGTTCAACTGCAGAAATGATTTCATCAAGTCAGTTCATAGCCTTGCTGGAATTCCGAGGATTGTCGTAATTACTATTCTGGTGAAAAAATACCAGCCTTCTGGAAACTTCACCTGAAGAATGTTATCACTGCTGATTAAGTTTGGGTATAGGTTCTATAGTCCGACTGCCGAAAGTCCTGTTACTGGGTCGCCGCTCAAGACGACGAACAAACCAGTCACATCACTAATGAATGTGTTTGCTTGTTCAGACATGAAAATCCAGATGCTTCTAGTGTGCGTTGGTAGAGTAGTGATAACTAAGTTGTTTTGCTTTTTCCACGTGTGAGGAATTAATACCGCTTGGCTGATGAGCCTCAATGAAACTGAACATCAAGTATAATAATTTTTAACTTTTGGAGAGGGCTAAAGAGTAAATGAGCCGAAAGCACTTTTCACTGATGAGAGCTTGAGTTCTCCCGCAGAAAGCAGCAACAAACAAACATAATCGTTAACTTGCGGGAAAGGCTATCTGCTCATTAAACCAAATTTGGATTCGAGTGGAATTCGATTCAAACTAGTCACAAAATTTCAGCGCTAGCACATTAATCGACAGAATCACAGAGTTGCTCGAGTAGTATTTTATAATTTAAAAATTGTAGTTAGACCGCGTGATGACCTGAGTTGCATTTGACTGAACTGGGTAAACGTCACCCAATGAAACGGTCGGAATAAATTCGTGGCTTTCGTCAATGTGCTTCTTCACTCTGGAAATTACTATTATGCGCCTTTGGATTCAAATGCATCAGCCTCTCTGACCCTGCTGTGTGAAAATATTTTTTCTCAGAACTGTCCGTAAAGATGACGGTGAAAGAATGAGGCGAGCTGGGGAGATCATATTTAGTTCTTTATTCAATAAAATCGGTTAGAGAAGTCGATAACGTCACCATCTATGATTATATCATACAGGGAGAGTAAATGTATAACTTCAACACTTTGGCTGAATGCTGGAGTAATCGAATGTAAGTATTTGTCCTGGTGTAATGTTTAGAACACGGCCGTTGAAACACACACCGTTATTTGAAAGATTGCAAGTGATTGACCGGTAGTTCAGCACTGTTCTACTGGGAGCTGAAAACGGCTATTCACACAGGCCGACCAATCTCAGTACTCAGAAAGAGATGCTAATGTGGAAGAAGGTCAACTTATCAACTAGGCTGAAGCAAATTCAGTCTCATAGTATTGGCCTTTTGATTCGCCAATGTATTCGATCACCCCCAACACTTTGGCTACAAACGTTTTGCTCCGAACGCTTTTGGCAGACTGCCAAAAATCACGATTATTGATACAAACAGTAAAAGTGTAGATACGGATTGTCCTAAGGATTTTGGTGCAGTCATATATGAGAAACTCAGGTTATTACGCCTCACTGGTAAGGCTTGCATTCTGGCGAAAAAATAGTAAGCAAAGAGAACCATTTAGTAAATATCTCCAGTTAGGCTGATCAAAATGTTCTACCTATGGAAACAACCACTACATTTGTCATCCGCTTATTTCATACGTGTTTTAGCCTCGATGAGTGGGGAAGCACCTTAGACGGATGTTTCGAAACCTCAGTGGTCTGAATAACTGTTTTCACTAGAATCACACCTTTCTCATTCCCAGGAAAACTGTTGGATTCCTGCCGATTACACCGCCGAAATTCGCAGTTTCACGCCAGCCTACAACACATGGAAAATAGTATCCGAAAACCATAGGTTGACAGGCTTCCCTCAAGCGATGAACTGGAAAACATTGCTTTGCGAATCCCCACCGGGACAGCACTTCACAGACGGTACTTCACACAAAGAACACACCCAGCATTGCGAGATAACTTGGCTGGACCACGTATTAGGCAGGCTGAGTTGCTACCTATCGAGACGAGCGCTGTTTCCTGTGCCTATTTTGGAGTGGCGGAACTCATGAGGTGCATAGAATTCGGCGTGGCAGAATGAAATAAGGGGTAGAATATCATAAAAGAGAGATCCAGTTGAGTCTCTCGTGAAAACCAAATTGATTTGCAAATGAGTGTATTTCTCGGAATAAGGGGTACTATGAAAATCATAGATGTTGTTCAACTTTTGGGATGTGGCCCACGTGATCCTCCGTATACTTTTCTGGAGACTACATGGGCTGGAGGCCAACATGTGTCGGTGACATTCACGCCATCAGTTTCTCTCTCGATTGTTAGAAGAATAGGCACGTAGGATGTATCAATGATAGGCTACCCTACCCTATCCTACATTCTTATTTTCCATTGTAACGTCTTATCCAAAAGAATCGAGGTAATTTTATGGCAGCGAAGCACCACTGCTCTATCCCTGCTGTTGCTTTCATTGATAAGACTTAACTACAGCACCAATGCACGGAACACCTAATTACTTCGTTCAAAAAATCAGAGTGAGTTCATATAAACGTAACTATTGAAAGATCTTCGTATATCGTTGACAAGATATTCAGTAGTCTACGTGAAAATCAATTCGATATCCGAATGAATGTATTTGTCGAAATAATGAGTTAACTTTGGTACTGACGATGGCTGCCGAGGGCAGTACATCCAGCAAGAAACCGCAGGTAGAAATTAACACGCGATGCATTTTACGTACTGAAAGGCTTCCAACTATGAAGATGCCAAGGGCGAAGAAATTCGTGCCCAATTCTTGTGATCTCCATGAAAATCGGCTGAAGTCGCAAAGCTCTCTGTGTCATCAGCCTGCCGGTAACGACCCTCAACTAGTCGTTGCTTGAACTTCTGTAGATAATCATTCTTGTTCATGACATCTGCGCATCCGAAATCAGTATTCGCTAGTATTACCTCATGAGCGTTCAGCCGAGTAAGGACCATGTGTATAAAAGTTGGTCGAACAACGACCCAAAATGAAGTAAACAACAAACGTAGGGGTAGTAGGTATTATGCTAGTTTGATAAGAAGTCAGTTGCGAAGGGCATTGGTGCATGTGGTGAAACCCAACAGGGAATGGATTGGGGCCAAATTCATTTGAAGCATTTTAAGCACGCCTGACATAAGAAGGGAAGCACCAAGTTATGCATAAGTGCAACTGAAGGTTCACCTCTCGAAGAAAAGAGCCAGGGACTCTATAAAATTAACTGCGACGAGTACCCTAAGGTCTATTCGGGAAGCAGGACCAAGGAGCTTCACAACAGAATCGGGAAACAAAAAAATAAACAGGCCGTCAAGGAACCCAGATGAGTATCGAACGTTATTGAAAGACCCAGCAATGGCGGGCTACGCATTGGACATAACTGTGCAGGTGCATCAGCCTTACTCCTGTGAAGGGAATTGAGAGGATATCAATAAAATACAAGTCACCTCTAGATCATTGCCCTACCTCACCTTTGTAAAATCGCAAGGTGATTCCTGAAAAGAAGTTAGTGACCCATCGGCTAATAGATCACAGCAAATGTCTGTCGCAGCGAGGCTTGTTCTTGACCTGGTTTATTCAAGTTGTGTGCAAAACGCAAATGCCGCTGTGGTCAACATCCAATTACGATTTTTGGAGTACTGACGTTACCCTTCCAAACAAGTGGCTCAGTGTCAAGAATTCGCCCTTCACAACATTTTGGGGTTTAAGAAATGGACATAGACGTCGACTTGACTATTTCATAGCGGGCATGCTGTGACACTGTCATAAGCAGATGGGATTGACCCACCTTGAAACAAGATTAATGTCAAAATGTTGGAAAAGTTGTTGATTGCGTGGTTAATATAAGATCATAAAGCCGCTCTTACGGGATGTTGAATACGGTAAAATAAAGCGGCATTTGGGAGAATAAAAAACTTGGATAAAAATACCTTGCTA